CAAACACTTGCACTTGTTGTAATTTTTTAGCTACGATAGTATATTTTTAGTAAAGATGTGCATTTTAAGTAGAGACGTACTTAAACTATAATGGTTCAAATATAGTGACTAAGACAACTTTAACGAAGAAATAGGTAGGTCAAAATTTAATAGGGTTTTAATTGGATTAATGTGAAAGGAAAAATATTCTTGATAAGCCTTAAGCTGACAAAAAGCAAAATTAGGCCTGCACTGGTACTACCGTTATTAAGTAATTAGAAACTTGCTTAACCTTTTTTGGTTTTCATAATTAGGACAAGGAGCAGTGATTAGAGACCTAATCAAATTAATAATATTGGTAGGGACTTAAGATGGGCCCCAAATCATACTATAATTATTAAGAAATAAATGTTCCGAACATGTATTTTTGAGTAATAAATTACTTATTGAAGATATGCATATTATATATATATATATATAATGTGATTCCATTCTTTTGCTATTAGATTGTTACTCTTATTAAAGTAAGGGTCCATAGGGATAAGAACATGGTTATAATCAAGTGAATGAACAAAGCTCGATTCTTTTGATTGGTGCTTAAATAGTTTTATAATGCTCGTGGGCTTTATCTTTTGGAACATTAACACTTCAGTCTACAACCTTTTTTGGCATTGTTAGGTTTTAGAGTTGTTGGCAATCTTTATATAAAAACGTAGTTGTAAAAGAGATTTAAGAGTCAAAGAGTCAAGTGGTAGGTTGTATAGATAAGTTAGAAGTCCTTGGGGTCGTCAATGGAACCAAGGAAAAATTGTTGAAATTATGCTAGCTCGCTGCCAAGCTATTGCTTGAGCACTCAAAACATCAACATTGTAGCATGCTACTTGCCTATCTTTCAAGTGGAGCACCGATAGTTGGTCTGTTGCTAGGCTCTCATATGAGCGATGGTGTTTCCCGGGAAATCCTAATTCTCATTTTTTAAGAGTTTTATCTAGTCTATACTATCCAAACCTCTATACTTTATATACCCATGCTCCATTTCAAAAAAGTGTTGGGTTGAATATTGAGTTAAACAAGAAATCACTTTACATAACTGACAAACAGTTCAATGCTCTCTTGATTCAACTATATCATTGAAAACATCAAATTCATATAGTCCAAATCACCAAAACACATTCTTCTGCATAATCTATCAGAATTTTTAGGATCAAGAAAGGTGACAGTAGTTCCAGTTGAAGGAGAATGAGAAGTTCTCAGTGATCCACAGGAAATAGATGAATTAAGAAGGCGCGAGGGCATGCAATCCGAGATGGCTTTGGAGATTACAGTCAGGAGGTCAGAAAGTACTATAGTTAATCAAATTTTAGAGTAGTATAAGTTGATTTGTTTATAGTGGATTCTTACTGGCTTGGTCCCGGGGTTTTTATCCTATGAGGAGTTTTATTCGTCATCAATTTTTTTGGGGTTATTTACTTTTCAACAATTTACTAACTGCGATAATTCAATATAGGATAGTTTTGCATGTGAATTCATCTGGACTAATTAACAACTATGACTCGATGCTTTTATTAATTGGTAAATTTAAATGAACTTCGTTATTTCAAGTCGTATCAGAGCCTCAATTCTATTCCTGACCCTAACTTAGTCTAGATGAGTCAATATCTTTTTGTGCCTGATTTTTTAACGGAAGTAATTATGCATATTGGAAGGTTAGAATGAGAGCCTTTCTTAAATCTCTAGATGAGAGGATTTGGGTTAGTGTACAAAATGGTTGTACAGCCCATTCTACTACTATTTCAGGTGTAGTTACACCAGCGAACATTTCACTTTGGACCAATGATGTAATAGCTTTTGCAACTGGAATAGTAAAGAGCTTCATGCCCTATTAATGGCTGTGTTCGCCGAAGATTTTAGGAGAGTATCGATATGTGAAATCGAGAGGCAACCAAAATTGTAAAGAACTCCAAGCTGCAGATGATAACCACTAGGTTTGAAAAAATTAGAATGAAGGATGAGGAATTGTTCAATGAATTCTATGGGAACTAAAATGACAAAGTAAACTCTAACTTAAACCTAAGTGAGAAAATTCTCAAGTCTAAAATTGTTGGAAAGGTTCTTAGATCTTACTTGAGAGGTTTAAACCCGAGATTACCGCAATTGAAGAGAGAAAAGACTTAGATACAGTTAAGACAGAGGCACTTGTAGGATCACTCCAAACCTATGAACTCACCATATCTTAGTTACCAACAAACCTATGAATGTTGCTGATCTTAAACCCAAGGACAAGGGTACCTTAGGACAAAGGCCTACTAGTAAACATAGGACCAACTGACCTAGAAACCAATATCAACAATCACGTAATTTTTGAACTAAGGTTTATTCTTATTTCTCACAATTGTGGTGTACTGGGACACATAAGGCCTATGAGTCAAAGCTCATGAATAGAAGTAGAACTTAGGATATCTCTAACAAGGTTCACTTCCTTACCAATCAGATTGGCCACTTAACTAAGATGATGATACAGATGACTAGGATTACCTCACTTCTAAGAAGGTTTGGGTTAAGAAAAGTGATCTCTCTAGGTATGATGAACAATTGAATTGCTATGTTGCTCATGTTGCACTTAAAGCTCAAAATAACTCCAAATGGTATCTTGATAGTGTGTGTTCTCAACATATGTGTGGAATTAAAGCCATGTTCTCTACTCTTGATGATTGGAATGGCAATATGGTTACTTTTGGAGATGGGGCAATACTACACCTATTCTTGATAAATATACCATCAATATATATAGATTACCTGTCGTCTTAAATGTGCTTTATGTGAAGGGTTTGGAGTCTAAGTTGTTAAGCATTAGTCAAGTATGTGATGTTGATTTTTAGGTTAGTTTTGTCTAGAAAATGTGTATTATTTATGATCATACCGGTAATGTTGTCCTCGAAGGTGCAAGGACTTTTGACAACTGTTTTGGAGTTCTTCTAAATTCCAACTATATGTGTAGCAGTGCCAAGATTGATGTCACTGAACTTTGGTGGCATCAAACTCTTGGTCATATGAACTATAAGAGACCGTCTAAGTTGGCTAAGAAAGAACTTGTTAATGCTTAAACTAAACTTGAAAAAATTGAAAACACTATATATGGACCATGTCAACAAGGTAAATAACTTAGAGTAAATCATAAACAAACTACTAACATATTAACAAATAGGCCTTTTGAATTACTCCATATGGACGTAATGAGACCATTTATGACTGAGAGCCTTGGTGGTAAGCATTACATTTTGGTTGTAGATAATTTCTCTAGGTACACATGGATTGAATTGTTGAGAAAAAAATCTGAAGTGTTCAACCTTGTTAATCCTTGTACAAGAGACTTAGAAATGAAAAAAAAAAAAATTTCACTATATCTAGAATCTGAAGTGATCATGGGAAAGAGTTTGAAAACTCTAACCTTGAGAACTTTTGCACAGAGGAGAGAATCTAGCATGGATTCTCTTTAATGATCACTCCACAACAAAATAAAATAGTTGAGAGGAAAAATCGCGTGCTTCAAGAAATAACTAGGGCCATGCTTCATGGTAAGGGTCTAGCTATGCATTTTTGGGATGAAGCTATGACTACTGCTTGTCATATTGTAAATAAGGTTTACCTTAGATCTAAAACTGATAAGACACCGTATGAGATCTAGATCTAGAACGGTAAAAAGCCTACTGTTAAATACTTTCGTGTATATGGTAGAAAGTGCTATATTCTAAGAAATAGAGAAAATTTGGGCAATTTTGACTCTGAGTGATGAGAGAAACTTTCTAGGATATTTCAGGAACAGTAGAGTCTCTTGTGTATACAATTCTTGTACATGAGTTAGGATGGAGTCCATAAATGTCGTGATAGATTTTTTTAAGTGAGTGAGAGATTGTAGGAGATTGGGATGAGTTAGATCACTCGAGTATAGATCCCGTCATGGTAATTGAGCCTAAAGAAAAATCAATTTTTGAACTTCCACACTCACCTAAAGGTATAGACATTCCCAATAAGGAGTCATCACCTAGTATGAGCTCCAACTTTCCTAGTGAACCATCTCTTAGTAAAACTTTAATCCTTCCCGTGGAGTAATTACTTAGTAATAAATCCAAACCTCTTAAGGAACCTTCATCTAGAGTTAATTCTAGTCTTATTGGAGATTTAGATAAAGGGATGAGGTTTCGCAAGAGGGGTTTTAAACAACCTCATATTTGCTAGCTATGTGTCCCAAATTGAGACTAAGAAAGTATAAGATGCCCTTAGTCATGAATGCTAGGTAAATGTGATGCATGAGAAACTAAATCAACTTGAGAGAAATAATGTATGGTATTCGGTATCTAAGCCAGGCAATTGTCATGTTATAAGTATGAAGTATATATTTAAGAATAAGACCGATGATCAAGGTACCATAACCATGAATAAGGCTAGGTTAGTTTCCCAGGGATGATATTAGATGGAAGTAGAGTAAATGGCTGATACTACTGAAAGGATTCATCTTTGGATAATAGGTACTGTAACTGGTACTCTTATGATTGGTTTAATAGATATTTTCATCCGGTTGAAGATATTGACTTTGATGAGACAGTTGTCCATTTTGCACGTCTTAAATCCATTAGAATTCTTCTTGTTGTTGCTTGTACCTTAAGACTCAAGCTATATCAAATGGATGTCAAAAGTGCTTTCTAATGGAATACTTCAAGAAAAAGCTTATATTGAACAACCAAAAGGATTCATCAGTCCTTAGTTTCCACATTATGTCTACAAACTAAATAAAGCAATATATGGTCTTAAACAAGCTCCTAAAACTTGGTATGATAGACACATTGCGTACCTTTTGTAATGTGGTTTTCTCAAGAAGGTCTAGACAAAACTTTATTCATAAGAATATTGAAGAAACCACTACCATAGCACGAATTTATGTCGATGATATAATCTTTGGTTCTTCCATTGACTCACTTGTTCATAAATTTGCTGAATACATGAAGCAAGAATTTTAAATGAACATGGTTAGAAAATTAAGTTACTTTCCTGGTTTCCAAGTAAAGCAAACTAATGATGGGTTATTTATATGCCAATCAAATTGTGTAAAAGACATTGTCAAGAGATTTGGACTAGACAGCAAGAAACATACTAGAACGCCCATGAGCACAAGTGTTAAGTTAAGTCATGATCTTACAGGTAAGAGTGTTGATCAGACACTATATGAGAGTATGATAGGTAATTTACTTTATCTTAGTGCCTGTAGATCTGGCATAGCTTTTAGTGTTGGGTTATGTTTAAGATTTCAGGCTGATCCTAAGAAATCTCACTTGTGTATAGTAAGGCGTATCATTTGATATGTAAATGGCACTGTAGATCATAAACTCTTGTACTCTAGAGACTCTAATCTTGATCTTGCATACTATTCCGATGCCAATTGGGCTAGAAATGTCGATAATAGAAAGAGCACATCGGGAGGCTATTTCTATGTTGATTCTAATCTTGTAGTTTGGATGAGTAAAAAAACAAAACTCTAGCTCATTATCTATGGATGGGGCTAAATACATAGCTGCGGGAAGCTATTGCACTCAGCTCCTTTAGATGAAACAAATATTGAGTAATTATAGGATTAAGCAGGTTACTATGACTGTGTTCTGTGATAACACAAGTGCTATTAATATTTCCAAAAATCCTATTCAACATTCTCGGATCAAACATAGAGTTATTAGACATCACTTCATTCGAGAGCTTGTAGAGACCCCTTGTTGTATCTCTTAAACACTTATCTACAAAAAATCAACTAGTTAACTTGTTTACTAAGCCCTTAGATGGTTTGAGATTTGAGTTTTTGTGTACCTCTTTAATTAGGTACTTAGGTATATGCATATACAGTTCATGTCGTTCATCCGTTCTTGCATACATTTTACTCTACATATATTCATTTTTGTTGTGTTTGCTTCATTTAAGAATACTAATAATAAAAATGTAACACTGTAGCATTGTATTTGATTTGCTAGAACTAGCTATTTGTAACCAAGTATGCATACAACCGATAAATAGTTGGGTAATTTCCATCACTTTGTTTAGATTTATATGGAGTATCGGTATAAGTCTCCATGTACCATCTGCACAGCACAAACTATGATATTGTAAGTAAGTCTTGACCACATGTGTGAGATTTGTGATGGTAGTCATCTATTGGAGAGGTGACTTTGAACATGAATTAATTATTACTAGTTTGACCTAAAGCTCTAGCATATTCCCCCTTAACAAAAAAAAAAAGCTGACTAAGAGTAAAAATTTGAAACATACTACAAAATGAAAGTTATTTTATACTTGTTTTCGGAGCCTTTTTTACTCGAACAATTAAGTTTGAGGAGATTCTGATAACCTGATGCACTACGGTCAACTTATATGGAGTCATCGGCCTAAAGCTCATTACATGAGCTATCTTAGTCGCTTAATGGATATCAAATTGCACATAAAATTACAAAAAGTGTTTGCTTACTGATAAGGGAAGAAAGAAAAATTATACACGAAAAATCAATATTTGCCTTTCTTTAATAGAGAAAAAACACTCATTCTACGGTGATATTTAACATGTCATTTCTTACAAATTTAAGGTTGGAATCTTACTCACAAGGAATTAATGTCACTTTTCATGCATAGGGCACGAATACAATTTACTTTATTTAAATGTGATCTGAGTATGTGGAAAAAAAATTTCTATTCATTGATTTTGTCTTTCTTGTGATCCATTGCATTTTTGAGTTAACATACATGTTGAAGTGCGTGCCATGATTTTAAAAAAGGGCTATATTTCGAAATTTTCAAAAAAAAGGTGCTAGTTTTGTCAATAGGCTTTCACCCTCTTGGAACTGAGGTATCGCTCTAGCGTAAAAAGCATATGCTCTGTCACTAGCCTATCGCTTGCCTCTCGCTCGAACGACAGCTTCTATATTTAAATTCCATCGCGAAGAACAAAAGTCAATTTTATCGGATCTCTCTCAATTTTGACTCAAATTTCGTCTCGTCCAAGTTCAATATGGGGTTCCAAACTTCAATTGACGTGTTTACATCTTTCATAGGAGCTCATAACGTAACTTAATTCCATAATTTTTCAAATTAATGGTAAAAAAAAAGTTTAATCCTTAATTTTCGCGCTTTTTTTTTTTTTTTTGGTTTTGATTTCTTTTTGTTTCTTAGATCAATTCATAAATCTACAATGCATGATTAGGAGACTATAATGTGTTCTCACTCCAAATTGCAGCATTTACTTAAAAAAAATTCGAGTTTGAAGCTTAAACTCGTGTATTAGGGTTTTTCGATTTTTTGGGGGATTCTTCTTGATTTTAGATTCGTTTTTTTTATGGAGTATGGGATAGGATTTAGATGTTGGAGTGTTGAGTTGTGAATTGCATTCGTTGATGAGGCTGTGGTTGGATGAGTTGGAGTTTGCACGTCATACTTTGCACACATACGTCACTTGTTTGATATATTGTCTCATCAACATTTTTGTTCAATTTTTGATGCGTAATTGACCAAACACTTTGAGCGCACTCTTATGAGCACGTCTAGATAATCACATTGCACTTTTGCCTTGGTTTTTATGGAATTCAACGTTGACGCTATATCACCCACTTTTGACATTCGTTACCCTGCATCTTCACATTGTGTCACCCTGTGTCTTGGCATCGTCTCACCCTATGTCTAGGCACCGTGTCACCCCTGTGTCCCGATACCATGACACCTCCATCCATGCATTGTATGGCCTTCGACTTGTCTCACATCACTTTGGTTAGTCACCTATGTCCACAAGTTATCTAAATTATTTTTGTATCGTTTGGCGTGCATTGGGAAATTCTTTTGCATTGTCTTGCATGCATTGGACGACTTCGCATCTTTTTGGGTGTGTCCCACAGTTGTACATCGATTTGCTTGTTTATAACATGTTTGTCTAAATTTTACTGTATGAGGACTATCTTTGTACCATTTGACATATGTATGGCCTATTTGCCTTTTTTCTTATATGTTTGTACATATCATTAATTAGTTGTTCAATGAGGTATATTGTATCTGTAGTTCCATCTATTGATGTGTTTGTATTGCAAACTTGATACAAATGCCTCATAAGAAAGCGATGACTATCGCACAGACATCCAATACTTCAACTTCCTATAGTAGGTCTAGATTCATATCTTCCACTGCCCAAGATATCTTTGGGACTCAGTTTTCCTTGCACCATGTTCTAGTAGAGTGTGAGGTAATCCTTTTTTATCTTTCCTCCAATCTTACAACCATCTTCACTTCACGTGGATGGGAGCCCTTACTTGTTAAATTGTCTCCTCTCTAATCTTTTTGTCCAGGAGTTCTATGAGAATATTCATGATATTAGCGGGTCAACCTTTAGGGTTTTCTTTGAGGTAAGATGCCTAAGATCACTCTTAATGTCATATCTACTATTATCCACATTCCCCAGGTTGTCCATCCGTTATTTAAATATTTATCTATTGACATCCTCGCTGCGGACTCTCTTATCCGATCGACACTGTTTAGCGGTGTTACTGAGAGAGTCAATCTACGATTTTTACTGGATCCCTATTGACTAATCAACTGATTTTGTTGAGTAATGTCTGCACAAATTTGTGGCCAGTCTTCCACACCTCTTTTTGCCCTTGAATAAGGCTAGATTTCTTTATGTGCCCTTGTATGGGTACTTTATAGACCTTTCTTTTATCATATTTCATCAAATTTTACGTACTTTTCAAGTGACGGGTACTAGGATTGGTCTTCCTTGCCATGCTTGATTTATTGTCTCGACGAATCTTAGGGCTATTGGCCATACTACCATTTCACAGAATATGTCTCATGTTCCTTAATCTTTCGCTTCTTTCGAGCCAGTTGAGCCAATTCATTTGACTGTACTAGTTGATCCTATTGGTCTAGATTCGATATTCATACTTTAACCACTAACATTCCATCATCTTCTACCCCTACTCTACCGCTACCTATTGATCCTATTTTGTCGTCTACTTCTAGTCCCATAGACCATTCTTTAGCTCTCATGGGACTGATGCTTGTGATGATCGAGCAGCAGGCTCGTATGATGTCTGAGATAACACAGTTGAGAGCCACTACAGAGTGTCACACAGCAAACTTTGCTTAATTTTATGGTGCGGTCGCATATGTTCAGCAAGGAGTTTGTTGGATCCGCGAGCATTGGATGATGATTTTGATGAGGTAGTGGACGGAGATGATGCTGGAGCTGATTAGCAGTTAGGTATCCCTTGTCATTTGTGACAAAAAGGGGGAGTATAGTATGTTATGTTGATTTAATTTGAAGATATCTTTTGACACTCTTCGAGATGTATATGCTATAAGCTAGGTTAAGTTTTGATATTTAGTGATATGGATGTTTGTTTTTGGTGTATTAGCCACATTGATATTGCATCTTAATTTAGTTGGCATGATTTTAAGCTTATGAATAATTGTCTTAACTACTTTTATTACTGTTTCACGTGCTTTTACACTTGGTATTTTAGTTGTTAATTCAGGAAACAGGTTTGACAAAGAAAAAGTAAGATTCAGCTGAGTCACTTGGTTTTGGGTAGATTAGATTGGATATCTTTAATTGGTAATACATTGTTTTGTCAAGAATTCCAAAGGAGGACTTTGTTAGGTTTTAAAGTCATTGGCAATCTATAGACAAAAACATTAAGTTTTAAAAGTCAAAGAGTCAATTTGTATGGATGAGTTAGGAATCCTTGGTGTTGTCTGTGGAACAAAGAAAAAATTTGCTAAAATTATGTTAGCATATCCCCAAGTTGCTGCTCAAGCGTCCAAAATAGTAGCACTGTCGCTAGTTTGCTGCTTGTCTGTTCCTAGAGCGGAGCACCTGTCACTCGCCTGTTGCTAGGCTCTTGCTCAAGAGACAGTGTTTCCCGAAAAATCCTAATTCACGTTTTTAAAAAGTTTTATCTAGCCTATAATTTCCAAAGCCCCTGTACTTTATATACCCAAGCCCCATTTCTGAAAAGATTTGGGTTGAACATTGAGTTAAACAAGAAATCCCTTCGTACACATCATACGAACAATTTAATCCTCTCTTGATTTAACCATATCATTGAAAATATCAAATCCACATAATCCAAAACACAAAAGCACATACTTTCGCATAATCTGTTAGAGTTCTGAAGATCAAAGAAGGTGACCGGAGATTCGATTGCAGGAGAACGAGGAGTTCTCAGTGATCCACAAGAGATGGACAAATTTAGAAGGTCGAGAATTGGTATTGGAGCATGCAATGTGAGAGGGCTTTGACGATTGCAGTCAGGAGGTCAAAAGTATTAGAGTTCAAATCTAATTGTACTATAAGTTGATTTGTTTATAGTGTATTCTTAGTGGCTTGAGCCAGAAGTTTTTATCTAGCGAGAAATTTTCTCCGTCATCAATACTTTTCAACAATTTACTAATTGCAATAATACAACATAGAATAGTTCTACATGTGAATTCAATTGAATTAATTAATAACTGTGGT